AATTTCTCAACCTGCTAACACACAATTCTGAGCTTCTTGCGGACCACACAACCTGTACTGTTGAGACTTGAGAGGCACCTACGTAGACCAGACATAGTAAGTCAAGTTCATGAAGAGTGGTAGACAGGGTCACCGCTATTTTCACGACATTGTTGTTTTGCATGCTTGAAGCCAAACATTTGAACATATTAAATTTGGGAAGTACAAACAAGTAATGATTTTATTACTATTATATATATTCTAAAACAACTCAGTGACGTATTTATATTGAAGGTGCGATTGTCATACTCAAATTTGATAAATCCATTTTAGCATGACATAATATACAAAAATCCTTATAGAGCTTATTTGGAGTGAAAAACTCAAAACTAGCCACTTGTTATTTTCTAATTGGTTCTTATAAAATTTTAACACACTGAAAACCAATTAGAAAATGACAAGTGACTAATTTTGTGTTTTTCTCTTCAAATAGACTCTATATGAATTTTTGTATAATATGTCATAAATATGCGGAGTTAATAGTCTATAATCTAAAGTCTAAAGAGTGTGCAGAGTTAATCGTTCCAATAAAGTCCATGGTGCTTTATTTCAATCTAAATAATGAGTTTTGTCTGAATACAACAAATACACAAGAAAAATGAGTTTGCTAATGCACCGCAGGAAAAATAATAGTACTCTGCGGATGAGACATTATTTTGTACCAAGTGATAGACAACCCATAGCTGCTCAGCCTCCCTAAAGCTTATCTTGTATCATTATCTATCTCACGTGTAAACTCATTGTAATTATCTTAACGGTGTTGTGTTCTTATCTGGACTCTTGTCCTTGTTATCTGGTGTACCTTTGATTCAATATAAATAAATACAATACCACAGCCACTGTTTCTGTGTGGCAATTCCAGTTGTGTTTTGAGCAATCTTGTTTGAAACTTATTTAAAACCCTGACATGGTTTTTCCGGAGCTGCAGATTGTAACCTAAGTAATGGCAAAGATGGCTTGAATATTTTGCAGCATAGGTTTTGTAGTTAATTAAGACAAATTAATTGATTTATCTTGGTAATCCCACTCCTCAAGTTTTCTTTAGAAGAGAGATCAATTCTCCTACACGTTTCACCTTGTAACATGTCCTCTCTCATCTTCAACTTTCACATACATCACAACATCTCAATGATAAGAGAAGGAAAAGTTTTAAGACAAATAGTCCCACACATATGCATGTTGAAGGCAAGAGAGGTCGAATTTTTCTTCGAAAATTTTATTCATTTCCTTCTGTTCTGATTGTAATTCCTTATGGTTGCTAGCACTCTAGCTAGCTAACTATAGGTAGCAAGACATGACAATAACAATTCATGAATTTCAAATACAATCTTCGTCTCCGAAACGCAATGTCTTTCTGTTAAGATAAAATATGAAACGATGATTTGTTTGCTGGTATAAACCTATGAGGCTTTCACGTTGGGAAAGCCCTGAGGATATTATTGCCAAGCAAAAATACTCTTTTCGGCTCTGATCGAGACCCACAGAAAAAGGCACTCGGAGGCTGCACCATAAGATCAGCGCCACCCAAATGGAATTTGATAGTTGCAAGACTGTTATATCCTTGTCTTCTTCATGCTGGTCTTTGGTAGCACAAATCGAAAAGTCTCGGTGTCAGCATGATCTCGTGAGGCCAGGAATCCCAGAGTAGTTCACCGGTGCTCGTTCCATGATTTCGTAGGCCGGTCGAACAATCCAGGAGAAAGTACCTCTTGATGGTCAACTATTGAACGCAGAACATTTAACATTGGATAGTAGGAGAATTAGTTTTTGAGTTCTTCCTGCTTGTGTGAGGTTGGGCTGGTAGACTGGTGATTCTGGGGAATCGCGGTGGATGAGCTTAATCCCCAAGTTGTTGTCTTAAAAAGTGACACTACATCTATCTAGTCTAGATAGCCTCCATTTAAGACCAAATTTGGTTACTGCACATAATATTCCAGAAAAGTTTTGAATTTCCCTTATCAATTATCATCTTCCTTGAAGAAAAAGAGGAGTTGGGTTTGTCATCTTAACTGGTAAGATTATTCTAGAGTAAGGCTTGACCACTAGGTCTTTCCTTGAGTTCCCTAGCGCAGGTGCTGTAATGGTATTTGTCAATCTGGTGGACCTCCGGCCGCAAATTTGATGCTTCATTTTCCTCCCCTGGTTTCGTCGAAGTTGTTGCAATTTAATTTTTAGTTTAGATGATTGTCATGGAGTAAGGACCTCAATCGATTTGATTGAAAAACGACCATGCATATGCCGTTTTTTTTGAGAATTATAAAGAGGGTAGCCGGCCGACATTTATAAATATCTCAACCAGCTAACACACAACTATTCAGTGATAGCTTTGGCTTCTTGACGACCACACAACGTGCAACATGATATGATACACTTGAGACTTGAGAGGTACGTACGAAGACGAAGACCAGACACACTCAACTTGTGGTACAGGGCCACCACCATTTTCAAGACATTGATGTTTTGCATGCATGAAGCCAAACATTAAAGGATTTTTTTGGTCTCGGGTTAGAAATTCACCAATATGTCTTTTATTTATTACTATTATATTCCAAAATACTTTTAACTGCAATGCACGTTTGGTTGTTGGATTTTTTTTTTCATTTTGACAAAGTGAATGACAACCCAAATGCAATGGAGATGGAGGGTGATGCACAAGAAGAATATCATATTACTCAAGGGCCTGGAGCATAAGAACTGGAAACATTAAGGAACAAGATTGCTGCAAGTTTAATGCATGCATCTTCTTAAACATTTTCTTTATTTCCATTTATTTAAGCCTAGTTTCAATGTTTTTTTTATTGCTATACAATTCAAACCTTATTAGGACAAAGGATTTATCAAAAAAATATATTTATTACTTATTCAATTTGAAGGATGGTTCATGAACCTACTACCGTGGTGATCTTTTTATCTTTGTTGGAATTTATTCAATACATAATTATATTTGCTTATCCCAGACCTTGAGAGTTTAAATTTGTACATCACCAAGGTTGTTCTAGTAGAATATGAAGTGATTGTGTATTATAGTATTCTTTAAGCAAAGATTAATATAATTTTTAGGGAGAAAAGTATAAAAGCACTTTACAGTTTTATTTTTTACCAAACAGATTAGAAAAAAGCAATTTCAGCATCATGTCCATTTTAGTCATTATAAATAGTTACAGCACTTTTACGGTAAAATTTACCAAACGCTTTGACATTTCTTTTCATACTCACAACACTTTTAAAATTACAGTTTACAAAACGTCTAACTGCTTTACTTTACAGCTGATTCTTTTTAAAGCACAGCAAAATCAACTTTTTTTTTTTAAAGCGGCAACAATCCCAAACTAGGCCTAAGTACATGACTTTTATGAATTGGTATGTATCAATTGAGAATTGTCATGTTCTTAACCGAGGAAAAATAAAATATTATTTATTTTGTTTGTGAATAAAATAATGATACTTTATTGGAAAAGTTGCATTGTTTCATAGAAATTGAAACATTACATTTCTTGGCTTAAGTTGCATTGTTTCATATGTGACAAGTTGCACTGTTTCATAGAAATTGAAACATTGCACTTCCTGGCTTAAGTTGCATTATTGTTTCATAATAATTGAAATATTGCACTTCTTGGCTTATGGTTGTAACATGAAAAGACACATTTGTTGATATTTTTCAGTCACATCTTTTCTGAACAGATGCCTTGTTGCCTATAAATAGAGAGAAAGTCCTACAACATTTCATTCATCCAATTGTCATCCAATAATAGTAGTTTTTAGAGCATTCATAGCATTATATTTTCAAAAATATAGTGACTTAGTAAGAGAGAATTCATACACAAGTTCGAGTTCTCTTTTCTTGGGGATTGTAGTTCTACTTCAATAAGAAGTTGATCGTTGTGTCCTGGGAGACGTTTGCCAAGCAAATCCTAAAAGCACTTGTGAGGAAGCAATTTCGTCTTAAGGAGATAGAACCAAGTTCTAAATTCGATCATTTGTAAAGTATTCTTAATTTTCCTTGTCGTTATTTTCTTGTATTTATTTCAAATTTATAGTGAAGTTTTATTTTCGAAATTCTGTAAATATAGCAATTATCCTTATATTTTTACCAACAATTTCCTTAATCATTTCCTACTTTTTGAGGGGTTACACTTTATTTCAGTTTGATGTTGAACTGGTAAACACTGTTTCTATGCTTGAATGTTTAATCAGCAATTATATTTCATTTTGGATCAAGAGAGAGAGAGAGAGAGAGTTTTGGACTAAGCTAAAATGGAAGAAGGGGAGGGTAGTGTTTATAAAGAAAAGGAGAGGAAATATCAAAAGGTTGATCCGTGGGGATTGAAGCAGGGAGTGGGTTTTCAGAATGGGATGCATGACAATCGAGATGCAGAGTGGGTTTTCAGCCAAGGTTTAGCATTGGTGGTATATAATGACATGAGATGCATAGAGAGCAGAGAGAAAAAATTCAAATTAAATGGGCTAGTGCTTGGGTCTGAGTATGGCCCGAGTTCAGTCCGTTTCAATGTGGACTTGAGTTTTGGGCTGGTCTGAGATAAATGATTTTACTAAATGGGCCAACACAGCACGACCCAATAAATTAAAGGAATTGGTAAGGCGTGGCATGAATACCTTAAAGGCACGAATTTAAATGAATCGGCTCGGCCCGTTTTACACTTCTATTGGTTATTGTGAGTTTTTGTTATGATTAATTAAATATAGGTTCAGTCTTTAAAAAAAAAAAAATTAGAAATCTTTGCATGTAGACCTCACTCCAATTTGAAATCCTGAGTCTGTAACTAACAAAAAAAAGCAAGTGAAAGATATGTATAATAATCTATGGAAGTCCACTCTTCAAAATTATTTTATATATAAGTTGGAAGTCTCCACTCTATCAAATTATATTATACAAACACACTGCGACTTAGTGCATACATAAAAAGAAGTGTTCGATATACCAGCGGCCACATATAAAAAAGCTAATAGATGTAAGCTTTGGGCTTCGAAAAGGTTTTATAAATAGTTGGGTTTCTCATCTCAAGTGATAAGATTCTAGAGTAAGGCTTGGTCACTAGGTGTTTCCTTGAGTTCCCTTGGACTTTGATAGCACAAGTGCTCTTAAAAAACCCATTACAGGGCTTAAAAGAGCTGTAATGGGATTTTCCATGGCTAGCCAAACTTTTATCCTTCTTCAAACCAAGAGTGTTTTGCAAAGAGTTGAGTGGCATAAATGTTCCTTGCACATCTTCCACTCTCAAGGGATCAAAAATTGCTTTGTTGATGTCAGCAAGCAACTCTGTTGGGGAGTCAAATGCATTTGTGGAATTGAAAAACATCTGAAATGCTTTGAGGCATTGAAGGTGAAGTTGTTTGCATGCTTCTGGCATTTCATTACTACTCAGAGCCAGTTCTAGAAACTCTGTCTTCTTTTCATCCAATGTCTTCTGTATAATTGCTATTGATTCTTCAACCCCTAAATTTGGATTTTCCTTCATGTATAGCAGAACAAGGTTTGGCTTTCCCTCCTCTTGCTCCTTCTGCAATTATACCATTAACAAATGAAAATGAAGAGATTACTAAACATAATGAGAATTAATTAAGAATTTGATCATTAAATATGTACCTGGTAGCTTCTAATTTCATTCAAAAGCCTTGTCAAAAGCATAAGTGAATTTGTAAGTG